ATATATATATATATATATATATATATATATATATATATATATATATATATATATATATATATATATATATATATATAATATATATTATATATATATATATATATATATATATATATATATATATATATATATATATATATATATTATATATATATATACACACACATATATATACACACATATATATACACGCATATATATAATGTATATATGAATGTACACATGTCTATGAAGGACGACCATGTAGTTCCTTACTTGTAATCTCTGTCACGTCTCGGGCTTCCATACCTTGGTTCTTAACTTCCTTTCACTCTTTCGGCTTTCTCTTCAAATATCTCCCGTCTTTGTGAGACTTAAAATAAACTTTTACTGGATCTCCCTTTGCTTCTAGTGACGTCACTCATTTATCTGGTGCATCTTTGTTGCCATGAAGGCTGCTTCTCTCATCGCCCTCTCTGTCTTCTCCCTCCCTCTGTCCATTTGTCTCTCTTTCGCTTTCTCGTTCTCTCTTCTCTCTCTCTCTGTACATACACTTTTCATATGCCTACTCAGAGAGAGAGAGAGAGAGAGAGAGAGAGAGAGAGAGAGAGAGAGAGAGAGAGAGAGAGAGAGAGAGAGAGAGAGAGAGAGAGAGAGAGAGAGAGAGAGAGAGAGAATGTTTGAAAGAAAGAGAAATGTTATGTGTGTATGTGTTTGTATGATTTATCTGTCTCTCCTCTCTCCTCGTCTCGTCTTCGTTTCGTGTCTCACTCTCCCTCCGCCATTCCCTTCCCCTTCTTCTCCGGGTCGCCTTCCCACATCCTCCCGTCAGCAGCTCGGCCCACGTTTGACCTTTCTGTTCCTTGTCATTTGGCACCAGCCCTGACCCCTTCTCTGCCAACACTGCCGCTCTTATTAGCTCTCCTCTTTCTCTCGTCTTTATCTTTCCTTTCCCCTTTCACTATTTCTTAACTTCCCGACTTATCGTTCTTTTTTAGTTTTTATATCCTCCTTACACTATCATATCTATTCATTTTTTTTTTTTCACTGTTTACTCCTTTTCTGTTTGTTTGATAATATTTTTGGTCATTAAGATCTCCCAGTACGTAGCCCCTTCACTCCGCTGTGGATATTCCACGCCGTTATCTCTCACTGCCCCATGTTAGGCTCTGCCCCGGTGCCTTTCTTGTGGACACGACCCTTTCCATGCCACGCCCCCTCCCCAACTTACTCGGAATCCACTTAAGAGATCTTCCCCCTTTGACCCACTCTGGAGACCTCCCCCACCCCTCCAGCCTGCAATCCACTCTACCGACGCCCCCCTCCCCTTCCTACCCCCTCCAGAGACGTCGCCCTCCCTTCCGACCCTCTCTAGAGCTATCCTCCCACTCATCCGACCATCTTCAGATAAGCCCCACCTCCTTCCGATTCCATCCGGACCCTCCCTGCCAACCCATTCCAGAGATACTCCCTCAATCTTCACCAACTCTAGTGATATCACCTCTTTCCGACCCACTTCAACTCCCCCCCCCCCTTCCCCCTCGATTGAATCATAAATCCCCCTCCCTACCCTCCCAGTTCGAAGGACGCCTCCCTCCCCCTGCCCGCATCAAAGGTATATCCTTCGCCCCGCCCCCTCTTCCTTGTGCCCTCGAAAGCCTGCCCCTCACAGCTGAATTTGCTTCCGATGTGTCCTGCCGGCGATCGCCTCCCTTTCCCCTCCGAAGCGAACTCCCTTCTCCTCTGGGAGCCCTTGTTCCTGCCCCCCCCCCCCCTCCACCTCGAGGCGCGCCCGTCTCTACCCCTTTCCCCCGTGTGCCCCTCCCTGCCCCGCCAGCGAGACGCACCCCTTTCTCCCCTTTCCCCCGAGTACGCCCTCTCTGCACTGTCTTGTGGGCGTGGCCTCCGCCCGCCTCCCCTCGGGTGCCTCGTGCACTGTTCCCACCATTACTCCGGTGATATAAGCTCTCGTCTTAATTGCCAACGAGGAAGGAAGTGTTGCCACATCCTCGCCGCTCGTGCGCTCTCGGTTTCATTGTAATTAGTTTTGTGCGGATTGATCTGCGGAGTGCATGCGCGCGAGCACGAGAGCGAGGCCCCCAGCTGATCTGTCTGTGTTAAGTGTACGGCGTATGCAAAGCAGGAGCCTGAATGCGTGCAGGAAAACCGCAGATGGGAGCGCGGGCAACGAGGAACCGGAGGTAGAGGAGGATTAAAGGAAGGAAGGGGAGGAGGTGGAAAGCGCGGAGAAGAAGAGGCAAGAAGAACAGGAAGAAGGATATGGAAGCTAACGGAAAATATGAAGAGGAAGAGAGGTATGAAGAACACAAAAGAAAACGAGAATTGGGAACTCATGACGAGGAAAAGACAAGAAAGAGGATGGAACTCAGAGGCTGAAGACTTTGTGCTGATCGTGTCTCGCAATGTCAGCCGAGCACTGCGTCGAATAACGATTGTTTTTCTTTTCGTTTACTATCATTGTTATTTATACAACTGAGCTCCTCGGTTACATGCGAGGAATGACACGGGAATGGGGGGGGGGGAGGGGGAGGGTATTTGTTGTGTGTATGCTGTGTGAGGGTATGCGGGTATGGTTGTGCATATTGCGCATCTTCTGTGCATATATGTATGTCCGTATGTGTGTATATGTTAGCATGTGTGTATATATGTATGCATATATGTATGTATGTATGCATGTATGTATGTACGGATATATGCACATATACGCGTACGCATGTATACCTGCATGGTGTGTATATGTATGTATGGATGGATGAATGTAATATGTATTCAAACGCATAAACACACCTATGTGTGTGTGTGTGTGTGTGTGTTCGTATGTACATGCGTGGCAATGTTTCCATGTGTTTGTATATAGAAAGTGTGTGTGTGTGTGTGTGTGTGTGTGTGTGTGTGTGTGTGTGTGTGTGTGTGTGTGTGTGTGTGTGTGTGTGTGTGTGTGTGTGTGTGTGTGTGTGTGTGTGTGTGTGTGTGTGTGTGTGTGTGTGTGTGTGTGTGTGTGTGTGTGTGTGTGTGTGTGTGTGTGTGTGTGTGTGTGTGTAAAGAGAGAGAAGGAGAGAGAGAGAGAGAGAGAGAGAGAGGGAGAGAGACAGAGAGAGAGAGAGAGACAGAGAGAGAGAGAGAGAGAGAGAGAGAGAGAGAGAGAGAGAGAGAGAGAGAGAGAGAGAGAGAGAGAGAGAGAGAGAGAGAGAGAGAGAGAGAGAGAGAGAGAGAGAGAGAGAGAGAGAGAGAGAGAGAGAGAGAGAGAGAAAGACTGATAGACAGGCAGAGACACACAGAGAGTAGAGAAATAAAAGAGAGAGAGAAAGAGAAAATCTCACAATCGTGACGAAATAAAAGAGAGAGGCCAATACTGATAAAGCCGATCCCCAAAGGCGTGCTCACGTTTGCATGTATTTGGGGAGCGTATGTGAGAGAGAGAAAGAAAGAGAGGGGGGGGGGGGAGAGAAAGAGAGAAAAGTTTGTGTGCGTGTGTGTGTGTGTATTGCGTGTGTGGCGTGTATGTATGTGTGTGCGTTCATGTTTGTGACTGCGCTGTAATGGAATTAATGTACTGAGTCATCCTTCCATCTTCTTTTCGAGCTCTTCCTTGAAGTGTGGAGTTCCTTGTCCGCAGAGTTCTGCGCAAGAGGTTGCGAATAAGTAAAAGTCCTTCAGTAAAAGTCAGAATATCTCAATAATCTATTTATTAGGACACAAGCGATTCACAATAACTGGCCTTTGCAGTATGTACAAGGTTATATACACATCCACATTTACACACATAAATAGTAAACAATTCTCTACTAAGATAAAATATTCACTCGGGATAAAACAATCTATTATGAAAAAAGACAACTTAGATATCTTATGTACACATCCTGATGGAGCCTCGAGCCTTGCATCGAGAAGGCTCACTTTCCCTTTCTAAACACAAGGAAAGTCAATCTTATCGAGGGACAACTTAAGAATTAAATTAGTTTCTTTTTTCTTATATATCTAATTCTGACTCATCGCTTTAGAGGACGGATTCTAGAAAGGTAGAATACTTACATATCTTAATCATCAGATTGATTCCTTTTAATCAGACGTAGCACGGTCCGCATACTAAATTACCAATACTTCTCTTCATTCTACCTTTTCACTGAAGTGACTAAAGTGATTTCTGACTATGAAGGGAAAGCTAATTTTAGACATCCATAGTCCAATGTGATGAAGAATCCATAGCAGACTAAATGTTCTTCACCTTTCTAGTTTCTTCCAACTCCTTTGCGCCAAAACGGCCGGAATTCACGAAGACGAACGTTACTACCGTGAGAAGGACTAGGAGACCAACTCGCTGGCGCTGAACACTGCAAAGGATCAGGTTTGAACTATAATCAGCTTATCACTCGCGGGCTTGCGAGCTGCGTTCAGTCCACAAGCCCGCCTACCTTGCCATCCTTTAGCGCTCCTGATATGTGGGTGACGGAGGCGGGGACACCGCGCGCAAGGCACCGCGGGCTCCGCCGCCGGGAATACTAGTCGAACAGAAACGGCCTGGAAGCGGCTTCTGCGAGGAGGGTGTAGCGGCCGAGCTGCAGCTGAGGCCCACCTCCGGCCAGGGCGGACCGGGTCTGACCCAGTGCACGAGTGTGGCCATAGGACCGGGGGGGACGCGTCCACAGCCAGTTGTGGCCTGGGCGTGGCTTAGTCACTAACCAAACATGGCCCATACACGAACAAGACGTGCCTCAGTCGCGGGCCATATGGGGCCCAGCTATGGCCCGGCAGCAGACTAAGGGTGTTCCACACGAGGGTTCGGCGCGGCCGGCCAGAGGTCCGGCGCCGCGGCGGACGAGGGAGAGCGCTCGAATGGGAGTCTTGAGGGAGAGCACTCGAGGGGGAGTCTCGAGGGAGAGCGCTCGAATGGGAGTCTTGAGGGAGAGCACTCGAGGGGGAGTCTCGAGGGAGAGCGGTCGAGGGGGAGTCTCGAGGGAGAGCACTCGAGGGGGAGTCTCGAGGGAGAGCACTCTCTCGAGGGAGAGCACTCGAGGGAGGAGGCGGGGGGGAGTCTCGAGGAAGAGCGCTCGAGGGAGAGTCTCTAAGGAGAGCGCTCGAAGGGTCTCGGGGCAACGATTTGTACCTTGCTGGCGGTATGTACAGAGGGCGGTGGAGGCGGGCCGGCGGGCGGGTCGCTCACGCCTTGGTTGTGAGGTCGACGGGGGCGGTGGAGGTGGGCACGGCCGTGAGCACGGGCGACACAGGCGGCGACACTGGCGTGGGCGTGCCTGGCGAGGGTGCTAAGAGGCGCGGGCGCTTAACGCTCAGATCAATGGGCGCCTCCTGCTCGGGGGCGGGGGTGGCCTCCCACGCCTGCGGGCTGAGGCTGGCCGCCCGCATCTCTTCCACGGGCGAGTCTGCTACGCGCTTCCTGGCGAAGGGGAAGCCGAGGTGCAGCGCCAAGGGCGGGGCGAGAGGGCTCCGGTAGTCGCTCATCGGACGCACTGGGGGAGTCAGCGGGCGTGGGGGGCTGTGCGGGCGAGGGCTGTGATGGCGCGGGCTGAGGGCGTGCGGGCTGCACATGCGGGGGCTGCTGGCCGAGGCCTCTTTGGGCGGGCTCGACGGCGGCTGCGCTCTCGGCACGCCGGGCGGCACGAGCAGCGAGGGCGGGATACCGGAGTACAGCATGGGCGGGTACAGGCGCGAGTAGAGGTGAGAGGCGTGCAGGAGCGACAGGCCGGGGTGCAGGCCGTACAGGGACAGCCCGGCGGCGCCCGCCAGGTCACGGCGGCCGCCCTCGCCGAAGCGCTCCGCCCCCCGCCCGCCGCCCTCCACCACGCTCATGTCCTTCGGAGACGACGTCCGCCGGGGCTCGACGTCGATGCTGGTCTCGGAGAGGCAGCTCTCGGGCGAGGACAGCGCGGGCGACTCGCCCTTGGCCTCGTCCTCGGACTTGGCGGGCGAGAGCGCCGGCATGGAGGCGGGGCTGAGGGAGAGCGAGCCGGCCACGGCGCCGGGGAACGAGCCACCACCGCCGCCGCCGTCGAGGCCGTTGTTGATCTGCGCCGCCTGCTCCTGCAGCAGGCAGTGGATCTTGAACCAGTTCGAGCGCCGGCCATACCTGTGCGGGAGCAGATGAAACAACTCGTCATACAAATGCTGCAGGGGAAATCGGCCACACCTTAGCAAAAGTACGAAGATGGTTCGTATAAGAATTCTAAAGTTCTTTCGGACAGTATCTTACTAAAATGGCAATAGAGTAATACACTCGCACACATCTTTCATTCCGAGACGACACTCACCTTGATCCACTCTTGGACATGCCGACCACAAGGCACTTGCGGAGTCTGCAGGCCTTGCACGACGTTCTGTTCTGCTTGTTGATGACGCACTGGCCGCCGTTCTTGCACTCGTGCACCTGCGACAGGTTGTTGTACGTCCGGCCGAAGAACGACTGCGCGGAAGAGAAAAGGAATCAACATGCTGGCGGCTGATAATGCTGGAAGGGGATGCGTCAGGCACATTGCGTCAGCAACAATGATAAGGATTATCTGTTTCGTGTTTGCACTAAAACCCAGGGTAGATATTGTCTTTGATGGGAGTGACGCCTACAAAGCAATGAAAATGCATGTGTGTTTTGCAGTATGATATCAAAACTCCCACTACGACTCATGATGATGATATTCATTGCGATAATGAGCATCATGGCTACAGTAACGGCAGCAGGAGAGGCACGCACCTTGCATCCCTCGCAGGTGAAGGCTCCGAAGTGGAAGCCGGCAGCTGGCTCGCCGCACACTTTGCACAGCTGATTCATTCTGCAGAAGGAAGAGAAGAGATTCATTACTATTGGGTCGTGACGACTACTTCCTGCTGTCGCAAGTTGACTGTGAAATCTCTCGGTGAGATTGATGTCAATCGGGCTCGGCTGCGACGAGGAAGCTGTCGCGGTGACGCGTCGGTTATGTCTTCCGGCGACGTCTTCCGCCAGTCCCGTTCGCCGCCGAAGACTTCAGGAAGTTTATTAAATAATACAGTTTTATGTCGTGTGAGGCTTTGTGTCGGCGTTGATTTTTATGTCCTTGATAAAGTGGTTAGGAAATTTTCGGTATAATCTAAATACTTTCCAAGGCAACAATACTTTTGTACACTAAGACATAATTACCTTTAACATGTCTGTTGGTCCATTGCGAAAAAATACAACCCCCGCGAAGGTTCATAATAGCTTTGAAAGTGTATTTATTTGATTTGAAATTACTTCTTAAGAATGTTTGTCATTGCGGTGATGTTTCGAACGTGAATCAGTCATAATATATACAATCTAGAATAAAGGAAATGAAGCATGTACTTATTAAGGCATGGGATGCAAAACTATGACAATCCTTTAGCAAGAAAAGTTAGAGAATCATCTGTGCGAAGAACTCGACCACGAACGCCATGTAGGTCCCGATAAGCCATTGGTATATTCCACGCCAAACTTGTTCCTTGGAACTCCGTTGGCCGCCACGTACCCGGGAATGGCCCTCATCCTCCATGCAGTCTGAGCAGTTCTACCGCCAGCAGCAAACACACGCGAGCGAACGGCGTATGTCTATCAGAGCCGGCCACATGCTGGGGCTTCCAAGCTGACAGCCGATAAAGCGTACGCGTGTTTCCCCTGCATCGTGGTGGGGAACGCTGCCGCCGGGGTGTCACCTGGCCCAAGATGTAGCGGGTCAAAATGCTGCAGATAAGATCGGCCGTAGCCGCGATACCTTCCGATAACCTCATATGGGCGCGGGCGCAGTGTTGCCATACTCTGAGGTCGTTATAGCAGAAACCTCGGGAACTCAAACAACTTCATGTAAATGCAAGAGAAATATTCTGGGGTCACACTTATACTATGCTGCTGCTGCATGCCCAATATCAGCAACGCGTTTATTAGGTTCGCCTAATGAATACAATCAAATGCTTGCATGGCTCCTCATTAGAAATGCAACTTGTGATCTGTACAGCCATTGGCCGACCCTGATTCACAGCAACTATTCATTGTCTGCGGTCTGATATACCTTGGTCGAGAGTCCTCCTCTAAAAGCCTTCCCTTCTTTATCATTAAAAGAGAGATGAAAGCGTTGATTCGATCATCAATTTCGTACTCTAAAAATCACCCGCTGAAAAGAATACGTACTTCCTCCTCCTGCACCGAGACAGCCAGCGACACCGCCTTCGGAGGCCCAGGACGCCAAGCAACACCGCCGGATACCCTGTGCTTTACTCGAAATGCCTCGTATATGGTACAAAATGTCCTCCGACTTGGCAACTCTGTTAGGGAAGGACATATAAGGGAGAGGTTTGGTTGCCAGCCAGGTATTACCAGAACGTGAGTGATTTTGTTCAGAGATGTGATCACAGGTTTTTGCAATGGTGATGTGCATTTTTTTTTTCTTTTTCTTTTTTTTTCAAAGGGGAAACGATGAAAGGGGTCACGTTTATGCCGAAAGGAAATAAAAAATTATTGGATTAAAAAGAAACAAGAGGGTTTGGAGTTCGCTCGGCTTGATATAAGTTTGCATAATACAAAGGAACAAGAGGAGATTCCAAGATGGACCAGAAAGTCTTTGTGACTATGAGGGCGGAGGAACGCGCCCTGACGCAGCCCTTCGCTTGAGGGCGACGGAGACGCTGACGAGGGCTCAGCCTTGCTTAATCGTTTCGTTTATTGTTATCATAATGATGATTAGCATCGTTAGGTCATGTCTATTATCAGCATCATTGTTGTTGCTGTTTCTGTTGCTGTTGATGTTATCATTATCATAATTAATTTAATAACAATTATTATTATCACTGTTTTCATTATCATTTTCATTAATATTATTATCATCATTTTCATTGATATTATTTTCATTTTCATAAATATTAATATCATTATCATCATTATTATCATTAATATTATTATCACTGTTATCATCCTTATTGCTGCTTCGGTTGTACCTTCTAAATTTCATTTATAATATATTACCGTTACTGCTGGCATGGAAATCTTTTATTCTCAATCGTAAACAACAAAATCGCATTTCTTCCCTGTAAGGAAAATAACACCAGGACAAGGAAACAGCAGAAAAGAAGCAACACTATGACCTAGCACTATCTACCTAAACCAGCCGCGCCAAAACCGTCCTTCCCGACCCCCGCCCACGCCCCGCCCGCGCTTCCACCTACTCCATTACCTCACCATTCCCACCACACACACAAAAAAGGACCCGAGACGCCCTTCTGACGACCATCAACACCCGAAAAAAGTGAAACAAAAAAGAAAGGAGAAATTACATCACGGTTGATCATTTTCTTGCCCCCGCAGTCCCTCTCGATGTTCCCAGCGACGCCGATCTTCGAAATGCTGTTTACCGTTTGTCCTTTCCGTTACTGCGTGCTTTTAAACCCTGGCGTCGTTTTATATACATGTTAATGTGCGTGCCAGAAAAAAATTGGGATGTTTTATTCATAACCGCAAAGTGCATGTATATGCATGTGAAGAGTTAACTTAGTTGTAAGTTGGCAACACTACAGGGTGCGCCAGGCAGCTGAGCAACACTTGACTTCATCGCGTCTTTGATGTTTTGTTGAGCCTTCGCTGTTTTCGATCGGAACTCGGATGAACAATCGGTCATATAGAAGCCATAAGCATTTTCATTAAAAAAAAAAAAAAAAAAAAAACGTTGGAATATACCGTAAAATGTAATGTCGAGTGGTTTAGAAAAGAGAAAGTAATGTAAACATGCTAAAGGATATAAGGATACGGATGTATGCGGGATTACCAAATTAAATGACAGCGTAATGGCAAGAGTACCAACCCTGGCTTTGGGGTCGGTCCTGTGGATGGTACAGCTCGAGCTACCAATTATTGTACCACCAGGGGGGTACCAAGTCACCGGGAGCACCCCCGTTATGCCGCCCCTGGATACACAGCATAATTACCGAGAGTGTAGGCGTGATTTGTACCGTCTTGCTGTGTCTGTGTGGCCTCTTGTCTGCCTTGTAAGGACGTCGGAGGCGAAGACGCTTGGGAACGGTCCTTGGGGATGTCAGCGCGAGGGAGAAGTTCCCGGCGTGATGTCGGCTCCAAGATGGCCTACATCTTTATGCAAATCGGCCCCAAATTTTCCCTCCAAGCAATGTGTGGCTTTTGACATCTCTCGGAACAAACGCGTCAGGAAGGATCATAACAGTCTACCGTTCCCCACTACCGTTTCTCATTAAAATATCGGGAAGTGGATTGTACCTCATTTCTTATATAGTCTGTCGATAATTTTTACTTGTCTCTAGTAATGGTAATGCTAAAAATGGAATGGGGACAGAATGGAAATACCATTAGCTTAATGTTCAGACAAATAATCTACTAATTTCTAATGTATACTAATAGCCAGGTCTCCTTTGGTGAAAAGAAAAGGGAAAGTAAATTTTATGCTAAATACATAAAATGGGTAATAGTGTAATGTAATTATACGTTATACCAAAGTAATGATCAAACGAGGCAGTAAAAGCAGCCCGGTAATGAAAGAAACAAACACAAAATCACTGACGCTGAACAGGTGCTCGGATGCGACATTTGCATACGGAGGCACATCACGCAAACATTAGTGCGAGAAACCCTGTGAATCTTTAGCATTGTTTACTCACTTCGCTTTTGCATTGTTTGTTAGCATGAGTGCGCTCTCTTTTTTATAGTCTCTCGGATTGCATTGTTAATAAAGTTAAGTTGCGCTTTACTCTATCTTTATGTACATCTGCTAAAGAAACGTTTGTCCAAGTACTGTAATCACTGGCGGGAACGCTTCGAGATTGTACTCCGGGGGAACGTTTACGAGAGCCTCGCGGCGCGGTGGACGAGGAGGATCTCCGCCCACGAGGACGCAGGACCCTCCTCGCCGGCCGGGACAAGCGCGCCTCGGTTTTATTTCGTAATTACGCCTCGGGCTCTGACTTCGGCGAGTTCAAAGGTGGTCTGGCGAGAGGGTGAGCATCTGGCTGGTAACAATGTGACGCCACCCGACTCCGCCCTCCCGTCAATACGTGATCACTCAAAGACAAATTCCGTTTCTATTACTTTTCACTTGCCTTTTCTTCCCCTTGATTTACATATCAATAACCTTCTTATCTACAAGTACATCTCCATGCTTTTCACCCGCTTAACTGGCCCGCGATCGATCTCTCCCACGATCCCCCTCACCAAATCTCGCCGTCCGGGCGGCTTGCCTCGGAGAAAAAGAAAGAAAAACAAATCACTGGAACCAGAGAGAAAAAACGAGCTACCTGCCCTCAAATCTAATTTTCCACTGAAAAAATGAGAATCCCCGCTTGTTTTGATCCATATCTGTATAACCGCCACACGAACATCCAGCACAGTTTTGTAAACAAGATCCGCCACTCCGATATACTTCATCCCACCATAAGCTACAATTAAGGTACGGACCACCGCGTCCCGTGGTCGGCAACGGGGGAGGGGGTGGCCCTTAATTTATCGCCGTACGAGAAGGAACACGTATTAATAATAGGGTCGATAATCGGCCTCGGTGGATATAGACAGAGTCGTGAAGAAATGGTATCAAGAGAGAGGGTCCCAGGCGCCCGCAGCTCGCCGTGTTGGCACGAACCCCCGGATGGCAGGCCCTGAGGAGACCCCGAGGGATCCTCTCTCTCTCTCTCTCTCTCTCTCTCTCTCTCTCTCTCTCTCTCTCTCTCTCTCTCTCTCTCTCTCTCTCTCTCTCTCTCTCTCTCTCTCTCTCTCTCTCTCTCTCTCTGAGATCTGTCACCCATTTATTGGTCTTCCATGCACTTATCC